AACATTAAATAAGAATAAATAAAAATCCATTTGTTAATTTTTATTAAAAAATTATTTATTAATTTTTATACAAGTTTTTATATCAATTATTGCTTTATTGCTTCGATGCACTCTTATAAAAAAAATTATTGAATCATTTTTTTAATTTTTGAATTAAATTTTAATTTATATTATCTAAAGTTTTTATTTAAGAATCAATATATAAGGAATAACAAATTATTTTTTTAACTACAAAATTCAAGAAATTAAATACAAAATTTTGATTAAAAATATATAAAATTATATTATTTCACTTATTCAACCTAATCTGTAGCATAATGTAGCCAACTAACTAATTAAGTCTAAATATGCATCTACAACTCTAACTAGAGAAATGTTTTAGCTTATAATGAATCACATATAACCAATTTTGTATTTAATTTTGCTTTTTTAGGCCTCTTGTTTTTTCCCTTGCATCTTTGAAGTGAAATGGCTTGTTAAGCTCATTAAAATAACAATTATTGATTAATATCATATACTACCTATAAGGAAAATATTTATTTATTTTGTTGTCCTGTAAAAATTATACAAGATAAATGATGGTAGAAAATGACATTATTAAACAATTATTTTCATTTAATTGAGGTCGGCATGTGGCTTCTCAAAAAGCAAAAGAAAAGGAAAAGTAGCTGAGATGGTATTGCAAAATTCAATGCAAAACTAGGATAAATATTTTTTATGATACACTTTATCGGTAGAAAATGCATAGGTCCGATGGCCGGGACATATTTGGACTTTTTGGAGGCCCATGGGTTTGAACCAATAAGCCAGCAATTTAGACAATCACCGTTGATTTCTTGAAAGTTAGTTTCGGTTTTGAATCACAAAGGTGGAACAAGGCGAATTCTATCACATTGGGCGAGTGAGATTTGAATTATAGTCTTATTATTAATTTTTTATCCCGATTCAATCCTCAAAACAATGAGCCATTTGTGGGTTACAAGGGGGAAAATATATATATATATATATTGGCCTCCCCCATATCAATGATCTTTGGATTCGTCCTGATTGTGTCAATCTTGAGATTGTAGGCAGTGTATTACAATTTGTGATTGAGAAATATATACTCCATAATTAATTTCTTTTAAACTACTCGTCAAGATGTAAATTGAAAAAAAAAAAAAAAAGAGAAAAGAATGCCATATTATCAATGCCTCAAATGGAGGTGGACAAAAGTGGATAATTAAAAAAAAAAAAAATCGAAACTTAAAGGTAGTGAATAAGTCAAACGAGGCCATATAGACATCCAATGAACCTCACAAGAGAAATAAGAATTTATCCTTAAAAAAACAAGGCCGCGACAGAAATAATGTCACGGGTGAAACAAGAGACAGTTACAGAATTAAAAAAGAAAAAAAAAAAAACCTGAGTGAAGCGAGAGAGTGAGAGACAGATTAGTACTAATTGGTAGACTAATAAGAAAAATCCAAGCTTCCCACATGAACCTCATTACCAAGAAAGTGCTCCAACTTCATATACATCTCTATCTCTCTCTCTATGCTTTTTTACATCAAAATATTATATAATACTTTGTAGTAGCTTACAATGGAAGATGCAAGAAAAAAAGATTGATGTTCTTTTTCACCTCCTCCTCCTCTTTCCTCTTCCTTCCTGACAGAGTACAGAGCGAGACAAGAGTAATTTGCTTCTTCCAAGATTCAAGAGCGTGCTATATGTATTCTCTCTACCCGTTTGACTGATCAGTACTGAATCACAGGAGGCGGGGACTCTTTAATTTCCTGGCTTCTCAGCTCAGCTGCTTCCATCTCTATAATGGAGGAGTTGTCCGTACAGGTACTGATGCGACTTCTCTTAATTCTTTGTTTCTTGAACTTATATATAGCTGGTTTATGCATTCTAGCTACCTAAAATCTACTTGTAATGCTAATTCTTGTCATGGGCAAAGCTGATTTGTTCTACATTGTTATCATATTACTGGGTTGACGATATATGCTGCCTCTTGGCTTGGCTTCTAGCCCTCCATGGCTTCCTCTCTGTTTTTTTTTTTTTTTAATCTTAATTTAACAAATTTTTGAAAAACAATCAATATACCTTATGACATAATTATGGGCAGGGTTAGTGGGGTTGTGGTTGTACGCACTATACAGGGTAGTTGTTGGAAGAGCCTGATTAATGAAATTCATTGTGTCGTTGCTCTTTTTCCATTTTTGAAAAACCAATTTTTTATTTAGAAAAACTTCTTCTTTTTGGTTAGGTTCCTCTGAACATGAATACAGTACATAACAAAAAATTATACGTTCCAAATTTAAGAGGATATTGGTTAGATGGTAGTGGATGGCCAGTAAAGACCGAATCCATGAGAATCTTTAGAGTAGGGCCTTCGACCCCAAAACCTAGAAAATAAACCAAGTTGTAGTACTTCATAAGGTGCAAACAAGCCATGAACTCACGAAAAGTTTACCAAAGAAGGTTTCGAGATTTCAGCCAGATATAGTATTGGGCCTGTTGACATTTGCTGCCGCTGAATATTTTTATGTTTGTTGATGTGTTTGTATCATGTTTCAGTGTAAAAATATCAAATCGATGGTTCTTAAGATGGTTTTAAATTGTTTTGATATATATTAATGTCGAAAATATAAAAAGCCATTTGACGCATTTACAGTCTAAAAGCTTTTTTTTTTTACAAAAACGCATTGACAAACATAAGCACACACGTAATAGAGTGCGAGTTTGTTTTTGGATATTTTTCGAATATATGTATACATATATATATATTTATATTCAACTTCGGATCTCGTCCTTGCGTCCAAGACCTGTCCAGAGAGACATACCAGCAAGGGCAGGGGAATCTTTTTTCTGTGGAGAGCTAAGCAGATATCCCGTGAAACCCCAAAACAGGGAACAAAAACTTGGAAAAAAAAAAAAAAACTAATATTGGACAGCTTTTGGTTATGCCATCACGTTCACGTGTGGTAGCTGTCTGGGTGACCCATCTCCAGCCCAGCCCATCAAGGACCACTACCATCTTAATTTCTTGTTTATTTATTTATTTTTGTCGGTTTGCTGGATGTTATATATCGTTCTTCGTATCCTTGGCAGTTTTTATTTAGATGATTTTTGTTTCAAATTGGAGATTAGGGTTGTGTCTTCAATAGAAACCTCGTGTCCCAGCTTGCATTGCATGTTTGCATGCATGTTTTCTTGGTATTTGGTGATGGAATCCTGAGCATACCTCCCTTAATAATAATTATGATGAAGTAGGTAGGTGTCAACTAAAAGAATACTAACCAGTACCATCTATTCTGAGAATGGGAAAGCAAAGAACAGACGGAGACGGAGTAAATGAGATACTGCTTCTACTTGAATTAAATTTTTGGTGCCTTGGTTTTCTCACATTGCATGGCGGGTGGCCCTAGAAGTAGGTGACTAGCTAATTCGTGTGTTGGTTGCTAGCTTATGCTATTACGCATTGCTGGATTAATTCTATTCTTTATTCTTCAAGAGTATGATAATTAATTGGTAATGGCAACTTGGTCTGTTTTTTTCTTTGGCTAATCATCTTCTTCTTCTTCTTAAATACGTTTAATCCTGATGTTCTGGGGTGAGAACATGCTAGCAAGAACTATTTGAATTGCATTGCTTTAAGGTTGTTTTTCCTTTGTCAGGGGGTATTTTCATTTTTTTTTCTCGGTTTGCTAAGGCCAACCAATCTCTTACTACTAGAATCTCAGGTTTCGGAAAGATCTGGGTTAGTTTCATTACTGCGTTTTTTATGGACTAATTAATACTCTAATAAACTGATCATCCTGTGACGAATCTACTCTAGGCATGAGTAATGTTTTCCACACTAAAAGATCCCCAGCCTATGCGTACAGAAAACTAATTAATCTCAACCAGAATCCATCCCCTCGACAACAGATATCCTGACGTGACATGGGATGGTATTGGGCACTACAACTAGGCCATTATTATACACTTGCACAGCCAGCCAGTCACATCTGACATTTCACTATTATATGTATGTAATAAATTGATCATTCTCATTGTTAGTTAAGTTGACCTTTTTTTTTATAATCTTTTTTATGAACATAGCTATTTAATCTAAACTTTGCATTTTTTATTTATATTTTTATCACATATTTCACATTATGAATAGTGGATAATTAATAAGATAAATGTCCATAATAATTATCTACATATTTATGATAAATAAAGTTAAATTGCAAGTTTCTTAAAATAAACAGTATGTCATCTATATTTGTGGATAATAATGAGACTGCCATAATAGAGATTAAGGTAAGCATGTATTATTGACAATTTTGTAACTTTAGTAACTTTTAAGTTTATTCAACTATTTTCAAAAAATAATCCTTCTTGCATCTCAAAAAGCATTCCTCTGAATTTTGAAGTGGACTCAAATATACGTGGAATCAACTTCTACTTGAACAATAAAAAGTATAATGTTTTTTATTAAACGCCTGGTTGGTGTTTATAAAGTTAGAAAAGTAGGTATGAAACCGGCTTTATATATGAACAGAAGGATGACATTGAAACTGTTAGATAATTTTTAAAGGAAAAATTGATGAATCAATTGGTGAAGTGTAGTATTGTTAACAACCTTATTGACGATGGACAATCTTGTGGTAAAGCTTTTCTTTTCTTTACCCTTTTGTCATTTCCAAATGAATTGATCTTTGAAGCTTGCTAGCTTCTCTTAATACTATTATTCTAGCGTTTCTGTTAAAAAAAAAAAAAAAAAATTGGCTATGAATATTAATGGATTAGGGACAGTATCATTTCTTGAGTGTGCCGGTTTATTGCTTTCTTGTCTGTTCTCAGAAAAGCGACCGTTTTTGCTTCTTTGATAGTTCTGTATTTTACAGTATACACACATCAATATTGATATTCTATGATAAAATGATCATGTCAGTAAATTGTTCCAAAATTTTACTGCATTAGAAGAAGTCACTTGTGAAGTTTGTGGGGTCCTTTAAGGAAATATGGAGCTTTCAGTCTATAGCACCTCCTTGATAATGGATGTGGACTCGGGTTTTGCTTTTCTGGTTTTGCTTTACTGAACTGTAAATGGTCATAGAAACAACACAGATTAGGCAAAGCATGTGATTACTACTAGGAAATTTTGCTCTCTTTCTCCCACTGCATGCTGCATTAGGGATTTTGAATATAATTTGATTAGCCAACATTTTCGAAGAGTGAATGTACTAGTAATTTGCATGTCTTCAATCATAAAGTTTAAGTATTTGAGTAATGAAGAGATGCTGATGTCTACAGACTGACACTACAACCTTGGATAAATCTGCTGTCGTTGTGTTGGACATTGAGAGTCTTGCACAGCCACCTGATAGGAGCTCTGGGAGTCCGAAAATGACAGTGAGCAGCATGTCCTATTGTCAGTTCGGAAATTTATCCATTTATATCTGTGATATTTCATGCGCACATAACAAATCATTTGCTCTTTCTTGACTTGCATGTAGAGAGCACTATCTCGAAAATGGTCTTACCGAGCAGAACGATGGACTGGTACTGAAGAAGAAGACATTGATGAGGCAGCAAAGAAACTTCTGATAAAAGGTATGCAGATGTGATTGCTAAGCCCTTTTATTTTTTTTACTCCCTTCAGTATATTCAGTTTAAGCAATATTAAAGTTGTGGATTAGTGAGTATTTCATTCACATTTTAGATTATATTATTGCAACACAGCTGACTTGATATTTAGAGCACACCATGCGGGTTTTCACTGAATAATGCATATACTACGGGCAGTTTTTACAGATTAATGCATGTCTATCATTTTAATAGCGCGTTATACACTGCTCAATGTAAACCAAGGCTTCTAGTAAAATAGCTTTACTCAATTCATCTTGTATTGATCATGTAGAAGATGCAACTTCCTATGAATTAGTTAAACCTGAAAAGATACTCCAATTAATCATTCAACTATTCAGTGACCCACAACACTCAAATATTTGGTGGGCGACAGCTTAGTAATAGTCTAATCATGCTTCATACTCTCTGCATGGATCCATGGGTATCAACTTGTGCATGTGGGTGAAGTGGCAGATTAGAATACAACAACACAGAAGTTAGAAACCAAGGGACCTGAATGAATCCAATGTGCTTTAGTTTGATAAGCACTACAGAAAGGTGTTCACTTCCTAGTTAAGACTCGACAGGCATTACTTTTGTTCTTAGTTGAGAAGCTAACTTAAACATTCCCACATATCCTATTTAGCCATACTCTGTTAATTCTCAAATGCATGGCATGGCAGAAAAGAAGTATTTGGTGCTTGCGCATGAATTACGTTTCCTACATATTTTGTGGTAGGGAGCTCTCAGCTGGAGCCTTTGAAGCTGCCACTAGTTATCAACAAAGCACACGTTTCCTCCCTCGCAACCCCTAGCGGCCCCATTCTACTAGACCCAGTTGATGGATGGAATAAGAGGTTTAACCGGCTAATGACAATCAACCCTCGGAAGATCCTTTTCATATTTGCAACCATGTGAGTACCCCATTGTTAATTTTCTGTTGCTTCAGATGTTATCATCATAAAAAGTGTCTTTTTTCTCTGTTCTCCTGTATCTGTGGCAATTATAAGTAATCCGGCATGAGTAATGACTATCGACCTATGCACCTTCTTGAATCTCATCATGCGTTCCACAAGCAGCAATTTCACTCATGTACTTAGAACAAAGAACTCTTCTTCGTATGTTTAATTTGGTTGCAATCTCTTTTTGCTAGCTCCCTGCTAGCTTCCTTAATCTAATAGTCGATTTCATAAAAAAAATAAAAAAAAAATTGTTGGCTTCAGGTCCAGCATGGGCACACTGATACTCATATACTTTACCCTCGCCATTAATAGAAGCACTTAATGCACGGAGGGCTGGTAAGGAGGATCGTCCTTCACGAGAAGCCAAGGAGACAAAGACATGGTCCACATGGATCAACTGTATCCTCCTCTTAATTTCCATTTGCTGTTTCAGTACTGCTGGTGGTAGGGTTGTCTATTGCTTCCAGCTAGACTCGACAGTAAAACGCTTCTCTCAGCCTGCTGGTATTAGGTGGTTAAAGATTAATTTATGATCTGTATGTCCTTAATGATCCAGCTTCTTTAGTCCTTTTTTTAATTTAATTAGCTTCAGGTTACACATGTTTGCAAAGTATTTGCGGCAGAATGATTCTCAGAAGCTGAATATTTGAGATGATTTTTCTATTTTTATTTTTCTTCAAGCTAGGTTTTGATGCAACTCCAATTCCAATTACTTGAAAAACCCTAAGAATTGCAAGAATAAACTGTAGAAAACTATGATTCTTATTCAAAATCAATGTAAGATAGCATTTGAAATGTTATTTATGAAAAAAATTGAAGATAGTAGCCATTCAAGTTACAAGAAGAAGAAGAATTATAGAGGAAATGTAGAAGAAGCTAGAAGAATCTAGAGAGAGTTTTCGAAGGAAGAAGGAGGAGAATAATTCTACTAACCAAACAATGATTCCCTACACTTCTCTCACACTCTAATATTAGCTGACCATTTAGCTAATAACCTCAACAAATTACTCTTCTAATTGCTAACAAGTAACTAACTTCAAAATTACTTCTTTAGTTACTAATATCTTCCGTCACATATGACCTTCTTGCTAGCACATTACTAAATTGTTGCTAACTCATTAAGAAAGGTATGCATCGGTACCTTTCCTCTTCGGAAACTTTATCCTCAAGATTAAATGCAAGAAAACGCTTCTCCATATCAAAAGCAAACACCCAAGTTGCATCGGTAGCTATGCCATTTGATCATTGAATAAGTAGTTTAGTGACAACTTGATTACCTTTCTTAACCATTCTCCTATCCGGAATGGCTACCGAAATTGGTGGCACCTACAAAGACTTTGGTAACTTTGGTTGGACGGAAACATGTCCATGAATTGGTTTGAGTTGAGATACATGAAAGTTAGGATGAATTAATGAACAAGGGGTAAAAGTATGGTATAAACAACTTCCCCTATCTTGTCAACAATCTTGACATGTCCAAAGAACCTAGGAGATAACTTCTAATTAGGCTTGGATACCATATTCTATTGCTTGTAAGGTCGTAACTTCAAATACACCTATTCTCCAATCTCAAAAACCTTATATATACGCTTTTTATCACCTTGCATTTTCATACGATGTTGTGCCTTGCTCAAATGGTGTTTAAAGACCGTGGTAACATTCTTTTTGTCTTACAACATTTTTAATCGTTGTGTCTTTACAATTATTAGGTAGATATGGAAGATGTATTGGAGGGAGTAGCCATAAAATGCTTCAAATGGGGATTACTAAATGGATGTATGAAATGAATTGTTGTATCAAAATTCAGCTAGGCATAACCATTTACACCAAGCATTAGGAAGAGTAGAAGTCATGCATCGTAATTAGGTTTGTAAACACCTATTAACTACCTCGGTATGCCTATCGGTTTAAAGATGGCAAGTAATAAAGAATTGTAATGAGACCTTTTGATAAGCAAACAATTCCCTCTAAAATTTACCCAAAAACACATAATCCTTATTAGAAATGATGTTTTATGGTAGCCCATGTAACTTATACTCATGTTCCATGAATAATTTAGCCACTATACTAGTAGTACAAGGATGTGAAAGGGCTATAAAATGAGCATACTTGGTTAATCTATCCATCACCATAAATACCACGGACTTACTTTGGGAGATTGACAACCCTTCAATGAAGTCCATTATAATGTTAAGCAAAGATTGCTTGAGGTAATGGTAGAAGATTCAACAATTCCGGAACCGTAATATTCTCATACTTACATTCTCGGCGTGTGTTACACTTTCGCACATACTCCCGTACCTCTTTAAGTAATCCTTTCCAATAAAACAAGGTCGTCAATTTATTTATAGTACCCTTAACTCCTAAATGCCTCATTATAGTTGAGTCATAAAATAAGGAAATTAAATCCTTATGAAAGTCACCATCAATGCCCACCAACAATCTGTCTTTTCTTCTTAATTGATGGTCTAACCCGCACATACTTAGAATGCACTCCCTAGAACCCCGTAATTGAGATAAAATCACTAATAATATAGGATTTGAAATCCAAGAATGCCTAATCCTTAAAATCAAATATGTGGATATAGAAAAAAGAATAATTATTGCCAACTACATCCTCGAGAGCGTATTTATAGCTATGTTTTCCTTTCTTTTTTTTATATAATCTCATAGTCATAACCCAACAACTTAACTAGCCTAGTAAACTAACTAGGCATGTGAATTTCTGCTCAAGTAAATGCTCGAGACTCGATGATCGGTCTTGATTATAAAATTTCTATCTCCTAAATATTAATGCCACTTCTGAAGAGCAAAAAAGAATGGCAATTAATTACTTCTCATATATGGACAACGTTTAGTGCTTGTGCTCAACGACTTGATAATATAGGCAACAGAATGCCCTTTTTGCATCAAGACTTGCCCTAGTTTCGGCTCTGAAGCGTCGGTTTCTATCACAAAGTCTTTTTGTAGTTGCGGCAAAGCTAACATATGAGTAGTTATCATTGCTTCCTTTAACTCCTCAAAAGCACGGTCGGTTAAAGGATTCCATTGGAATCCATATTTCTTGAGTAAACTAGTTAATGGTTTAGCAATCTTTCTATAATTTTGCATAAACCTCTTGTAGTATTCGGTAAGTCCTAAAAACCCGCAAAACTACTTAAGATTTTTTGGTTTTGGCCATTCTTTGCACCACTTATATTTTTTGGGATTAGTTTGAACTTTATCTTTAGATATAAAGTGTCCCTAGTAGTCCACCTTTGTAGTATCAAAGGACTATTTAGAGTATTTGGCCAACGTAAAGTTCTTCCTCAACATAAACAATATGATATGCAAATGTTAAACATGTTCTCGTAAAGTTTTACTAAAAACTAATATATTATCAAAAAAATAATATAATGAATTTTCAAAGGAAAGGTCTAAAAACTTCATTCATCAATGATTGAAAATTGCTAGGGGCATTAGTTAAACCAAAAGGCATAACCAAATACTCACAAGTGGCCATTATGTATTCTAAAAGCTATTTTAAGAATGTCCGGAATATGCATTCTGCTTTGGTGACAACTCGTACATAAATATAGTTTAGAAAAGATAGTTCGTCCTTACAATTCATCTTGGAGTTCTTTAATTATTGAAATTGAAAATTGATCATTCATAATCATCTAATTAAGCTTTACGTAATACGCATCTATCCTCCATGAATTATCCTTCTTTTTAACCAACATCGTTAGAGAAGAAAAGGCTCATACTAGGTTGAATAATTCTATTTTCCAATATCTCATTCACTTGTTTTTCTATTTCATCTTTTTGGATAAAATGGTACCGATAAGGTTTCAAACCGATAAGTTCGGATCCCTCGTTTAATTATATTATACTGGTCTTGTGCTCTCTTAGGAGGTAACCCCTTTGGTTTCACAAAAATATCCCGAAACAAGTTTAATACTATCAACATTTCCTCAGGAACAAACCGTACTACATCTACTTCATAGCTTTACATTTCCAATTCTTAAGGTCCACCAACTAGTTTAATTACAACCAATTAATATGACGTCGCCTACAAAGGATCTTGTCCATTGTCTTTTATTCCTCACTTTCACTTAGTTAAACACACTTCCCTTGTAATGATACATATTTTCCATCCTTTATAAATCTCATCCACATTTCTTTAAAATTTCAAGTTATGTCCCCTCATTGAATATAGTCATACTACTCCTATAATTAATTCATACATTCCCAAATCCATTGCATACACAACTGACTTCAAACTTCTCTCCTTCCATTTTCCATTTAAAGTTATTACACTTATCTTCATATATAATGTCTCTATTGTTTGCCACTCTAATGACTATATGTTGAATCTTAACCAATTCACATTGATTTATTTTTACAAATCCCAAATCAATAAAGTTATGAGTGCTACTTGTGTCAATTAAAATATACATCCTCTTTCCTTGCCACTCATCCTCAATTTTCATTATTTGATGTTTCCCTTCTAAAAAATAACATACATTGAGACTCGATATAATTTCCCAGTCATGTTTTCTATATTTTCATACTCTCTATAAATTTGTTGTTATTCCTTAGTTACTTCCATCTTAGTATCTTCATTTCCATTATCCTCTACTTTCGATATGAATATCTATCTTCCTTTGTATTTATGACCAAGCATATATTTTTCATGACAGAAATAGTATAATCCTTTTAACCTTCTTTCATCAAACTCATTTTTGCCGGGGAGTTTTCTAGTTCGAAACGTAGAATTACCATTTTGAAATTATATTGGTAATGGTAACATGCCTTTTTAGTTATTTCGATCGGTGTTGTGGTAGTTTGTTTGAGGTTTTTGGTTCATTGCATTAGGTTTGTAGGTATTGTTTGGAAAAGGTTTATATGGTTGATTGATAATTGGAGTGTTAAAGGTTTGTTTTTAGCTAAATATAGGTAAAAAATTAGTATTAAATCTATGAGAGTTAGGCTAAATGTTAGTATTAAATCTATGAGAATTAGGTCGAATGTTTGAGTCGGTCTCTTATAGCTTAGCTAAAGCTACTGCTTCCTTAAATGTTATAGGACTCATGATTTTTACGAGTACTTGTAATTCGGTTTCAAACCCCTTATAAAGCAACTAATGATGTAATCCTAAGTAAGGTTAATTTGTTGACAACAAAAATAAACTTTTTAATGAAAGATTGAACATCATGAGTTTGTTTCAACCTCATTAGCTTTACAATAGGATCATTAAACATCATCATATCAAAACTTATACTCGTTGTCTTTATATAGTCTTCCCACTTAATCACCGATTTAACTTCGTGCATCCTCACAAAGACTCGGTCCCATTCTAAGGCCTTCTTCTTCAGTGAATAACGAGTTAAGTTTATTTTAGCTTTCTTAGGTGTTCTATCCACCATGAAAAACCTTTCATACTTAAATATTTATCCTTTAAAATCCTTTCCAACAAATCTAGGAAACTCCACCCTAGACATTCGAGTATTATAATTATATCCCATATTGTTTCCTATGTAGTGATTATTCCTTAAACCATCTCCATACTAGTAGTAGGGTATCCATATCTAGAAACTTGATAACCACTCGTCATTAATTTCTCTTATTTCTTCTTCCAAATTAGTATTTATTTTGCATCTTATTTCTT